TCGGTAAAAAAAAGTTTCTCCCCAGGGTCACGGAAATGATGCCATGATTCTACTTCATATTGCGGCTGGCTATTTCGCAATTTTTCGGTAATTAGATATGTGACGAATTATTGAGATTTTACCAGTAAATCGAAGAAATCGAGGGCTATCGATGAAAATTTCAAGTTTAAACATTCCGCATCCCGGTATCCATCATCTGTGCGCTGGAAAAAATACCAAATCCCCCTCCCACCTCTTTCGACAGGGCTATTAAAACATAATTATCACAGACTGCACATATTTGAACAGCTGAGTTTCAAATCGGGTATGACTTTGCCAAGTTGATGACTTTCTTGAACGGTTCGTCAAAAATGAATCTCAGGGATGAATTCATAACTTTCAATGCAAAAAAAAAAAAAAAAAAAAAAAAAAAAAAAAAAAAAAAATTGGTTTTAACTTATGCCTGCTCCTACTGCGAAATTGAATATAAGCGAAAATACGAGAAATAATTCCATCTCAATATTCAAGTTTTATCATTTCAGCAGTGTGAAGATTAAGTCACACAAATATACTTTTGCCTCTTTCTACAAGGGATCATACCTACATTTCCGAGATGCACTTCAAGAGGGAGGGGGGGAGGGGGCGTCACGAACTGCGATACGCTGCGTAATGTTGCGGGTGTAACGTCACGTACTTTTAATAGAAAATTGCGAGATTTCAAGGAAATAATGGTTTTCTTGACGACAGACCCTTTCCACCACATTCTGCCAACTGAGGAGAATTTCGTTTAAACGTTTTAAAAAAAGAATTTTAAACCATTAGTTTTACTGAAACCTAGCAACGGTGCAAAGTCGGGCCCGGAAAGAGCACGACTATCCCCTCTCATCTGCTTCCTCTGTGCGTTTTTGAGCACTTAAGCGCCGGTTACACCTGCGAGTATCAATCCACTTGAAACCAATGAGGAGCGTCCATTTCGATGGCTGTAAATCGTTGGATCGCAATGGCCGCTTCCCGTTGGCTCTGGCTCGCTCCTCGCTTCTCGCAGCTTATTATTCGCGCGTTTATCTGCCGCTGACGGCCGCGGCCGAAACACATGGAGTGCGGAATTCACTATCAATTGAGCCGCGAAACTGAAGCACAATGCGGTGGCCGGAAAGCGCGTTCCCCGGGGCGTTGGTGCTGCTAGTGAAATGTATCTGTTTTTCAACGGCCGATCAAGTCGAGTCGTTGAGCCTCTCCGAACGCGCTTTGATTCAGGATGCTGGTTCGCAACAGTTTGTATCCGTCGAGGTTCGAGATAAATCATCGGCAGACATCAGTAGTACGAGTTTCTGTAAGTGTGAAATGGACGTATTTCTATGAAACAGATTTATGTGCAGGTGAGAAATATGGGGTGTGCGCGTCAGTTCTCTGGCCGTGAGATTGAATGAGAATAATAAAGCGCCAGTGACGTCAACGGAGATGGATGCCGTCGTCGCGGCTCCTCGTAGTGGTCATCAACTCATGAGCCCTGTCCACAATGCTCTCGTGCCATGCTAGAGGCTCATGAATCCCACATTCAGTTTGCACATAGTTCTGTTTGCTGAATTTAAAATCTCGCTTTTCCAATTCTTCAAAAGGGATCATGCCCACTAACACATTGTTTCTTACGCAGTTTTCTGGAGCACACCCCATATTTCTCACTTGCCATGGTTCTGTCTCATAGAAATACGTCCAATTGTTATTCAAAGAGGCTGCGGCCATCCGTCAGATACATGACGCTAAAATTCAGATTTTTTTTCACACATTTCCATCCCCTTACAACGCACTCATAACGTGCTGACGTGCTAAAAACGCAGTATAAGACTTCAGACGTTTCCAAATTTACCTCGACAAATCAATAATCACCGGAAAGATATGTAAACATTTTTATTCCGATTTTTAGAGGATTGTCTTTGTAATTTGATCTAAAATGTGGGAAAATTCAAAGAAAAATAGTGACAACTTTCTTGGAAAATAATTTTTTTGCGAGACGAAAGCTGGCTACATTGGAATGCGCATACGGCGTTTTTTCTTAGTACTGCAGCTATAAATCCCTCTCTTAAAATTCTAAATATTCTCCTAAAATAAATTTCTTCCTTTAAAAAAAGTAGACAATTCACTGGTATTCATATATCACCAATAAACTTCATTCTTACCCTTTCTATAACTATTTTCATTTTACAAAAATGGAATTGAGGCAAAAATGAACGAAACTATCAAAGGCGAGAACTCGTGAGACATTGAAAGGAATATTAAAATAAAAGAAAATGGAAAATAAAAAATGATAAGAAATCCTTTTTAAAAGAATTAATAAATGCAGCATCAAATGTTACGTGAAGTGACTTTGAGCCCCCTCCTTCCCCCGTAAAGCGGACGCAGGTTCCTCCCCCTCAAAGCGTTACGTATTTTATGGACGAAGCAAAACTATGAAATCTGACGTACATGAAGCATGTTGGTTAAAAGTATCAAATTCTTCTCTCATAAAAAGATGACTGAAATTAACATCACTTTGAACTCATCACAACGTACTTTTTCTGTAGCTATACGAGAGTCAGTGAGTTCGTTGCTTGCGAGTCGTGGAATCGTGTTGTGACACTTGCTGCATAATGATAGGCAAAAAATGATAAGCCATGTCTTAATTAGCACTAAGCGCGAAGAAAAACAAAAACAAAAAAACGTATGCATGACGTGATCCATTCCGTGTAAACTATCGCGTGGTCCCTACCTCCACGCCTACTGAATCCGAGGTGTAGAAAAAAATATGTAACTCTCTACCGCAATGGATGACGTCATACGTTGCTTTTCAAAAAGGGTGCCTCCTGAAATATTTCAATTATGAATTCACGTAATCACAGGAAAACTTGACTTCTGCGCGAATCTCGGTATTTTTTGCTAACTTGTGAGCGAAAACTAGCGAAACATGATCTGTGAATCGCACGAGTGGGGCTCTAAAAATTGAACCATACAAAAAAGGAATATATACCATTTGCGGGAATGGCTTTCAAGCATGAACATATATACAGGGTTATCCAAAAGTCACTGACCACCCCTGTAACTTTTTTCCAAATTGAGATAGAAGTTTGAAACTTTGGGAATGTTCCTCGGTCTAAAGTAGCAACTTTTTGGTCCCCCCAAAATTTTGGGGGGCGGCCCCCCTTAAGGGGGGCGGGGGCTAACTTTTTTTTTTCAAATAGCAACCCCCCCTTTGTGATACCTCATTCGAAAGATAACAAAAAAAGAAAATTTTTGGCGCAAACCGCAGGTCAAAATGGCGGCCGGTCAAAGTTCAAAATGGCGGAAATTTGGCATCTCCGTTGTTTATTGACGGATTGGTGTGAAACTCGGAATTCTAGGGTTTTTTGAGATGAGAAAAACGATTCTGGCATTGGTTTTCCAGAAAAGTCAGTCTTTTGCAAAATGGCGGCGGTCAAAATGGCGGCCTAGAGCGGGAAGTAGATATTTAGGCTGCATATCGTTGGATTTGCATGAAACTTGGTATCCGGGGGTATTTCGGCACGAGAAGAACGAATCTTTCATTGGATATCTGAAATTATGACAAATTCCAAAATGGCGGCGGAAAAATTGCGGGAAATCAGTTTTACGGCTCTTTACCGATGGATTTGCATGAAATTCGATATCCTGGCGGTTTTTGGCTGGATTAAAAGGAATCTTTCATTAGATTCTTGAAAATCAAATAATTTCATGCTAATCCATCGGTAAAGGGCCGTAAAACTGATTTCCCGCAATTTTTCCGCCGCCATTTTGGAATTTGTCATAATTTCAGATATCCAATGAAAGATTCGTTCTTCTCGTGCCAAAATACCCCCGGATACCAAGTTTCATGCAAATCCAACGATATGCAGCCTAAATATCCACTTCCCGCTCTAGGCCGCCATTTTGACCGCCGCCATATTGCAAAAGACTGACTTTTCTGGAAAACCAATGCCAGAATCGTTTTTCTCATCTCAAAAAACCCCAGAATTCCGAGTTTCACACCAATCCGTCAATAAACAACGGAGATGCCAAATTTCCGCCATTTTGAACTTTGACCGGCCGCCATTTTGTCAAAAATGAACATTTTGACCTGCGGTTTGCGCCAAAAATTTTCTTTTTTTATTATCTTTCGAATGAGGTATCACAAAGGGGGGGTTGCCATTTGAAAAAAAAAAGTTAGCCCCCGCCCCCCTCAAGGGGGGCCGCCTCCCAAAATTTTGGGGGGACCAAAAAGTTGCTACTTTAGACCGAGGAACATTCCCAAAGTTTCAAACTTCTATCTCAATTTGGAAAAAGTTACAGGGGTGGTCAGTGACTTTTGGATAACCCTGTATAAGGCGCTCTCACAACGCACTCTGGCGTTCTGCGACATCCAAACGCCACAAATGCCTATCCTTCCTGTCCTGCGGTTATCGGGCAACTGACACCGCAACATCTCTTCGTCAATGTCCTGCCGCCATCCCTCTACGGGACATCCCCGTCGCCTCTTCCCGGGTGGTACCCAATGGTTTGGGTAACCTTGGGTTTTTTTTTTTTTTTTTTCCAAACAATTATTTTATTTGTTAAATGACAGAGTAGAATGATACGTGACAGGGTATCACCTGAAGGCCTAAGTTTACATATTATTAGTTTTTAAAGATCCTATTTACCATTTTTTGATTATTCCCCCCTGTCCCATGGAAGCTTATTGTCTAGTTACTTAAGTTCTAATTGGTTTCTCGAAGATCCTCTGTCTTCAGGTAACCTAGGGTTAGAAAGCACCTCTAAATAAATGTAGCAAACAACAATAACAACATAGATACGTAGATACATACATGAACGCCGCCGCTTTCACGGCGCTCTCTAGCGCTCTGCGATACCAGACCGCCAAAGTCCCTTATCCTACAAAGAATTTGTCACAGCTTGATGTGCTTTTGTGCGCAATGCGAAATTATGACCAAATCTGCTTTCGTCGAAGACGGTACATTCTCCCGTGCTCGGTTTACTGAAATAAAGTTACGGGCTACATAGACATACCGTATTTTCCGGGCTCCGAGGCCGAAAGTTCCAGGTGCTGGAGCCGTAAATTCGACTACTCCGGGTGCTACACCCGGAACTTTCGATCTCTGAGGCCGGAACGCGGACGTTATGTTTATATAGCCCGTAATTACGGCTTCCACGGCCGGAGTTTCTTTTTTTTTTTCAGTGTCCTGTTTGTATTTATTTTTCCAGCTTCTGAAGAAGGATGCTCGAAGAAATTCATATGTTATTTTACGAGTTGGGCCACCTACAGACCGGGAGGCTGGTCATACACAGTTGAGACAATGGATGCCACTCTCTGCACACATTACGTTTACGCTTTCGCCGTGCTTGATAACTCCACGTATAGAGCAGTGCCTGCCGATCCGAATTTAGACATCCAAAAAAGTAAGAGGCTAGTGAAAATTTTAACTCCAAGATTCACACAATTACAGGGTGATCCAAAAGGGTGATTAAAATTATTCAATCTGATCACAATGAGTCTATTTCACATATGAGATACAACTGACGGGTAGACTATCTGACGGTGAAATTGCAAGTAAATTTCATTGCGACTAAAATATATTCATTTACACTTAATTTGAGTGTTACGTATTTTCAGAAGTCCATTGTATTCATAATCATGACCCGCATTTGCAGACTTTTTTTTTTGTGTTCACTGGCATCAGGATGTACCCAAATTAATATTTGAGAGACAAAAATGTTCCATTGTTGTTCGAATGACATTTGATGAAAATTGGAACTTTTTCGTTCTCTATATTTTAAAGGAAAAATGACTCCAACAAACTTTTACCGAATTCTCTCACTTAAGCTCTCCATCGTTCTAAAGCAATCTTATTAGCCTCTGTCTTGCTCAATACTCAGTGTCTGAGAATGTATTAATGAATGTATTAATAAATGTAGAAGTTTTCATAAGGTGAGTGAGTGATAATTTTTCCCTATTGTTAGATTATTTCAAGAAATTCTGCACTAAAGTGAAAGCTGCAGGCGCCATTCCCATGTTGGGAGTGGGTGGTTGGACCAACAGCGGTGGTCAAGCTTGGGAAGAGCTACTTAAGGATTCGAAAAAGCAGGACCAGTTTATTGTTTCCATTATCCAAATGTTCAAAAAGTATGGTTTCATGGGCGTGGAACTGGATTACGAGTACCCAGGATGCCCTCAGGTATATTTTAACTTCCTTTATACTAATTACAAATATTTATTTTTTATTTAAAATAAAAAAACTTAATTCAATGATTTAGAGGAAATGACGCAGTGATTATGAATATGATTCAGCCCATATCCAGTGTCTGAATGTAAATTTATTTTTATAAAACCTAGATTCACCTCTATTATAGGGATGAAGCACAAAAAACATAGCCCGAATACACGAACAAATAGGGAGGGATTTAAAACATGGGTAAGCAAGGCTAAAGCATTAACAAAACACCAAAAGGCAGGACGTTTCGAGCCTTTAAAACTTTATTTTCAGCTATAAAAACACGACAAATAAATAAAACATTTAGTGGCAACCTGGCCCCAGTCTGTATCACGTAACCTACGATACGTGACCTAACGTAACCTAAGGTACGTGACCTGAGGTAACCTAAGTTACGTGACCTAACGTGACTTAAGTTACGAGGTAACGACTGAGGTCAGGTCTCCACTTAATTTTTCATTTATATTTCGCATTTTTGCAGTTGAAAATGAGCTTTTAACAGCTCGAAAAGACCTGTCTTTTAGTGTTTTTTAATTGTTTAGCCTTTTTAACCCATGTTTTAAATGCTCCCCCCCCCACCCTATTTGATCTATTATAGTTAATCAATAAGTTTTATGGGATCACGGTGAATCTGGACAAACTCGAGGGCCTTCATTTTATTCCTTCTGTTCTTGTATCGTTCTTTCGACGATCACTTCATCATAGCCCTCTTACACTTCTTTCCTTCGCTCTATTAATTCACCTCGACTCTGACAAGTAAAGTCACATAGAAAAATTGAAGCAGAGCAGATTGAAAGATTTGTAAAAAGGCGACGATGCAGGCTACTAAGTTTGAACGAACCTTTGACTAATTGATTGTGCAATTAGGACAGAACAGATATTATCCCATTTACCCAGGTGTACAAGTTTCATGAAGATAATTGGTTTATACCTTCATTTAAGGAAATTATGCCTCACACAATCTGGATTTGCATAGCCGAGAACCATATCCATTGACCTAAAAATCTCCGGTTACTAAAGAACAAGGCAATGGGCCACTGGGCGAAGACTAAACTACAAGAAAACGTCACAAGTCATCCGTACAAAAGCTTACATAGAAAACGATTTACGCAACGGGAAGTTTGAAAATCAATTCCTGAACGAGATATTAATGGGTGCTTTCAACTCCAAGCAAATGGAAGCTCGATTATACAAATGACGCCATTTGTATTTTTGCCATTTAATCAATGTTAATGGAAACCACTTATATCTTGCTTACAAGTCGATTTTCAGACTTCCCGCTGTGTCCTCCGTTTTCTTTGTAAAAATTTGGAGAGAAAATAAGTGACTTATATTGATAGTGCTTTAGTGCATACCTTGTCTAGAGGCCAAGTAACACTCTTTTCAAAAAGCAAAAAGTATTAACGTATAATTTAGGCTTGCTCACTCGTGTTATTTAAAGGGAAATTGCATGGATCCAAAATCGAAGGAGCGATTTAGAGGAATGGTCAAGAGGATGTACACAGCATTTGGAAACACGACTTGGATAATCTCAATCGCCATCCCGGCTGATAGCCAAAGGATAAATTACAGTAAGAAATATAACATCATTATCTTACCTCATTCATTTTTCACTGTCCAATTATTGATATTTTGTGCCATGGACAAATGCTCAAATCGGGCAGTTTGTCAAATGCAAAAACAGACAAACAAATTTAAAGAACCTACCAGACCTCGGGTGTTTTTCTTAAAGAGTTCTCCATTTTCCAGCACCTTTTCACGAAAGAGATGAATTAATCAATCAATCAATCAAGTTTTCTCACATTCTACCATTCAAAATGTTTCACATCAGTTTTTCCTGTCAGACTTTTCAATATTATTACTTCATTATAAATGACTCTTATGTGTTTATTATTTCATTAAAAAAACGGACATCAATTTGCACAATTTTGAGGCAATTTGAAATTGATATAATCTGATATTGTACAGAAAACTCATGATAATGTCCACTTGATGTAAGACAAGAGGAACGGGCATTTGGAATTATTGTATCTCGATGATCAACTTGAACAGGTCTTATCGTCATCTGAAAAATGATATTTCAGAGATCTCACGTGTAACGTTGTTTTCTAACCTCGTGCCCAGGTTATGATTTGGTTGGACTCCAACAGTATGCCGATTGGTTCAGTGTTATGGGTTATGAATACTTCAGCGTCAACTCAGGAGTGACATATCTACATGCGCCTTTAGTGCCACAACCCAATGCCTCGAATAGACTTAATGTGGTAACGTATTGAATTCTACATCATCCGTGGGGGTAGCAGCGCAGTAGATACATCTCGAGGACAAGTCTCTTTGGTGCAAAAAATGCAACTGAAAATGTATCAAAACCAAAAATCTGAAATGTAGCTCTAAGAAAAATTGGAGATTTGAAAAAGCATGTAAAATATTTACATATGTAAAAGCGTGCTTTAATGACGAAAGTATTCAACGATTTATAGATCGCGTTCAATCAGTTTTAGTTCACTTCATCGGTACAGTAAATGACGCAGGAATTAAGTTGAGGTGTATCAGAGAAACAAGCAAAACGCTCTCAGTTAGTATCGCATACAACAAGGACTAAGCGAAATTAATTATAATGCCTGGATGCAACTATTAAAGCTTCTCAGATGTCCATGTTGCATACACACGGAGGGGAAGGCGTTTCGATTCTTCAAGCACTCACCACTCACCACTTTACCCGCGGTTTGACAGCAACAGGTTGTGCTACGAGAATCTGAAATGATGAGCGCCTTCAATCGTTCATTTATACTAGAAAAACATCAAATACGCGTGAATAGCTGCTCACACGCTCAGCAATGTGCTATATATCAAATAAGTGATTTGTAGAGAAACTTCTCTTGCCTAATAGATGTCTCTATAATATAAACGAAGAACGACAGGTGCTCTGTCATTTTGGATCCACGCAATACAGCATAAAGAAACATATTTTAAATGATTTTACAAATGAACAGAGTTTCAGTGGTTAAAAGGAAAAGATCTTTTCGATCACGGTAACTATGTTTCGTATGATTGTATTTCGATTTTTTCTGGTTTAAACACCTTGAAGGGATCAAGAAGGGTCAAATTTGATTATTTCACAGGAGTACACGATCCAGTATCTTCTAAATGCCGGTGTATATCCGCAAGCAGTCGTTTTGGGCATGCCTCTTTACGGAAAGGGCTACACCCTCACGAATCCTAATCATCACACCGTCAACTGCCCAGCTGTCGGACCTTCACAGCCCGGGACTGTCACTCAATCCAATGGAACTATGGCCTTCTTTGAGGTAAGTTAAAATCTGAATTTTCATGATAAATCAGTCGTGCATGCTAGAGGGCCTTTATTGAGGGAATATGGGCGCTGGATCCTATATGGAACCTCTTCAGATCCAAAAGAATGGCGGTGATTTTGAATGAGATGGGGTACTTAACTATATGTATTAACGGTGGTATTCTGCCGTCCTGAGGGAAAACGCCGTATCAGTCTTTAGGCGTTGCCATGTTGTAAAAAAATCATCCCTTTGTAAAAAAAAACATTTACGGGAAAAATTTTGAATGATTCTCTTCCAGTTTTTGAGGTAATTTTGTTCACAATCTTATATTAAACCTCAAGAAATTTCAAGGAAAAATATGCATAACTTTCCGCAAAAACAGGCGTTTTAAGGAAAGAAATGTGGCTACTCTCGAATGCTCATGCGGCGTTCTTCCTTTAGCACGGCAGTATTATCCGCTACGCTTTTTGCCAACATTACCGTCCTTTTCATGGCAAAAATACACAAATCAGCTAAATTTCATATTTTAAATGAGCGTAATGAGGTTGCTAAAATGAAAAGTAGCAAATAGACAGTTTATGATGTTACTACTCCATTAAGAAAGACTACAGAGTATGAGTATAAACCTCAGTGGAAGAATTTCCCATTCCGAGAAACGCATTGATTTTTTCCTCAAGAACTTCAATTTTAAGCTATCTCGGCAGTAAACATTGTAATTCTAACCGTTAACATTATTTTCATCCCCAAAAAAGGGTGATGCCTCAGAGATTAATGTTATACGGCAGCTCTGCTTATTACAGTTTTCCATTTCTGAAAGACACAGCATAATGGAAACATATTGTAACATAATTTTCAGATTTGCATGAACCGGAAAGGCGGCTGGAAAATGGAAACGAGGTACCAAGGCAAATACTACGGGAGATGGATCTACAACAATAATCAATGGGTTGGTTACGATGGTATTCCAGAGCTTCGAAAAAAGGTTAGTTGAATCAAAGCTTATTCCTACAGAGTTATTGATAGCGCACTCTTTCTGACGAACCTTACATCTCTTTCCCATAATGAAGGCCTCTTCTTTTTTTTCCTTTTTATTCTTCATGAATATTTCTCCAGGCATGTTTTATCATTACGTGGTTCCTACTAGGCCCATCACAAACAACATCAAAGAAATATAAGACCTCGCCTTTCCCACTCTCCGGCATAGACGAAATATTCGGGAATGTTATAACTTTGAAATCTCCAAGTCACCTTTCTCAAGAATTAGCACGTATGAGTATGTCGTTGTAAAAATTTTGATGCTTCTGTAACATAAAATCCAATCTCAATATGGTCTAAGTAGGGCAAATCAGAAGGTTTTGTTTTAAATCGGGTAGAGGACGCTTTTGTCAGCAAAATTTGCAAATTTTTTCTTTGAGAACTTCCATCAAAGTCTAGCGTGCTAGGGAAGAGAGCGACCTAAGTCAGAAGATACGTAGATATTTGTTCTACATCTCTTGCGAAAGTGCTGATTTCCACCTAGAGAGCCAATTGTAGTTCTCTGAAATTTTTCCGATACACTCTGCGAGATGTCATGTGAAATATGTGAAACGAATTTGAGCAAAAAATGTACCATTTTTGCTATGACAAATATTTTTCATGAAGAAAAACGAGAACAGTGACCGACTTACGTCACTAAGAACAGCGATATGCTATTAATGTTGTTGATTCTTGTGAAATAATGCCTTTTTTAATGTTGATGATTACCTCAAATTGCTGCTCGAAATAGACTGACTGTCATAGGACTGAACGATGACAATAATAACCGTTTATTATGTGATGCTATTCGTTCTAAAGTGGTTGAACATTTTTTGTTGGCAGGTGCGCCTGATCCAGAACGAAAACCTCGGTGGCGGAATGATATGGGCCCTGGATCTAGATGACTTTCGTGGAAAATGTGGCCGCGGAAAATCGCCTCTTACGAACTTTCTGTCCGCTCAACTTTTAGGTGGAAGCAGCGAGAATTGTATTGACTGAAACATCAAATTTTACGACTTATAGTGCAAACAATTCAGACATGACAGATGGGATTCGATTTAAAACTGAAATTTTTGGATGTAATCCTCGGAATATTGCTCTTATTGTAATGCGACGAATGTTATAATTTTACGCTTCAAACTGCGATGTAATGAGTATTTTGATGTCCAAGTGTATAATTGTATATTTAATGAAGTAAATAGAATTTATTTTCGGTTGTCATGATTAGATTTGAGGTGTATTATATGAACAGAATGAAGGGAAGGCTACTTGCAGCAACTCAAACCATTATTTCAATTATTATAACTGAAAGCCACTTGAGAAGTTGGGCATTTTTTGACTGAGGGAAACTAAAAATGTATGTTAGTTGGACTGCATTTTGCAATTTGGAACTATGAATTCTGGCTCTTAAGGAAAAACACTTATGTGCATGGGGAAACTAATGGCACAGACGTTGTTTTTAAACCGGGCTAGAATTTATAGTTCCAAATTGCAAAATGTAGTCCAGTTCTTAATCGTCGCCCCGCTACCGCGAGAGCGCATTTCTATTTCCGCATGAGCCCCGGAAGGCATGGAATTGGATGATTTTATGCCAAAAGGAGCTATGTCTCACGCAAACCCTACGCGCATAGTTCCTTTTAGCATATCGACGGTGTAAGTCGGCAATCACATAACTCGTTTGCCGTGTCTGAAAATCTCCGCCTCTATGTTATTTTTTTGGAGGAGAACAAATTGACATCATTCCTTGAAGTTTTTACAGAATTTTCTTCGAACAGAGATGAAAAATCACGGCAGTCTTGAAGAATTGCCGTTGAGTAGTTTTCCGTTTAAAAAATAAAGTATGACAGAATGTTTGCGACGTCGCAAGCCGAGTTATGTGATTGCCGACATACACCGTCGATACATACGTCCAATTTTATGAATGACGGGGCTCACGTGGAAATTTAGATAATTCTGTGTCACACTATCAAAATACTGGCACACTATACAACACAATTATACAGTAATCAAATGGCTTATTCGATGACTTGGACCAATCACAGCACTTGACCTTGACATTTTGATGGAGCATTTTGATAGTGTGACACAAGCGATACACCCTTCTTTCATTAACGACGGGGTATGGCTGATCAGCTGAGCTGCGTTTTACAGAGAACAACCGGGTACGGCAGAGTGATTATTGAGATTCATAGACAAAGCTATAGACAAAGATGACAAACTGAAAATAAAGCAATCCTATCGGTGAAAACAGGTAGTTGCAATGGACAAAGTAGGTAAGTAATAGACAAACTGACGGCAAACCGCCATAGCCCGTATATAGTTAGTCAATCATTCTCCCATTTAGTCCATTACAACCACCCGTTTTCGCCAATCGGATCGCACCATGTTCCCTATGTCTTCTTTGTCTATAGGGCTGCCTATCAATTTCAATAATTGGCCCGCAGTTAAGTTGAAAGATAGAAAAATGGGTTCAAATTTTTCCTCCTCCATGAGATTACATGTGGAAAATGCAATATAAATTTTAAAAAAGCAGTTTTTTTAGTACGATGTCCCGTTTTGACCGGTGGTATCGAGTTACAATTTAGAAATGTTTTTTGCACTTCAAGCCGCTTTGAGTTTTTTGTTAATTAACGAAAATATCACTCTGATGCGTACTCCATTGCGCTCTGGTCGAAAAATTACAAACATGGAAAAGCCATGAGTAATGGTAATTTCTGGCTTTTAGACCAATATTCACGGTATTTCATTTCATCAAGGAAATTGTATGACCGGCTAAAAACCATTGCTATAGTAAAACTTAAACCTCGTCCACGTCTCAGAACCGCTGAAATTATAATATTTCACAGTGGGACCAACCGCTCTCAATTCTGCAATATGGAACTACCATTTCTGGCTAATTTTAGAACATGTTAAAAGACTCAATGGATGGGAGAAAAATGTGCTGCCCAGAGGCATAAAAGGAGCGTATTCCATTTCTGGCCCCAACAAGAGTGCGAGAGATACATATTGTTTTCATGGAAACTCGCTCCTATAAAATATGCAACCATAACTACGTGCAAGTTGCCACGGAGAGTTCCCAGATCAATTGAAGGCGAAATGGCGACGACAACAAGTAGTGCGTGGTAAGAAATGTGACAATAAATGTGGTATGAATTGAGGCACTACGACTACGGTGAAAGTTTTCTCGTCCAATATTGTACGTAACATGTAAAACCGTTAAGAGCAGAAATTGAAAGGTACGTTACTCCGATAATTTTAGCGCGAGGCTCCGCTGCCAACTCAATACATTGATTATTCTTGAATTCATGGAATTTTTCAGGGTCAGGGTACAATCGAAGAATTCCGAAACTGTAATCACCACCAAAATCAACACAATATATTATTTAACAATCATCTCAGAGCAACAATCTTTTTTTTTTTTCCAGGACAAAAATGAGTTTTTCATTTTTCAAGGAGTTACCTGATGTTACTTTCTCAGCTAACATATTTCTAAATTCAGAGAATTCTCGGAGAGCAGCTATTAAGGAGGTAATTTTAAGGGTCGAAAGAAGGTAAACCCGAAAATAAAATATTTTACACGTTATTCTTTTTGTTGCTCATTCAAGAGCTTCAAGGGGATCTCTGTTTGTCTCAGAAACGACTATAAACACGGCTCCAAATACCACGCATAGCCCTTTAACGAACGATTAAATAAGATATGATAGGTATTAAACTTTACAATGAATATTTTTCAACTTCATTAAAGGCGAGTTCAATGCATACGTGAGAAATTGGCGTTCTGTGTTCATGGTAATTCAAGTTCCATGTTTACTAACAAATTAGAATCTAAGTAGGTAGATGTACATATATATGGGTAAAATCGGATAAAAAAATGTTCACCTTGGCATGGTGTCCATTATCATGTTTCCTCTGTAGTTCTGATTTTTTTTTTTTTTTATGAGTGGAGAGGTACCGCATGCCAAAAGAGACAGGAGCTTGTGTAAACCAAATTGTAGGTACTTATTTGATGAATGGTGGTAAGTTTTCAATGGCTGATTTGACCTACGATGATGTTTGTTTTGTTTCGAGCGGGAAGTTTAGATTCAATGACTCCGATATGAACTATGAACGCTTAATTATTATTATTTCATTAAAAATGTTTATCGTATTTAACTCGTTTTAAGTTAAATATTCAAAAGGGAACATAGCATTCAGTGCTTTAATTATTGTCCTGTCTAGTGGTCCATTCGTCGCTCCTCCGGCGCAAGGGCGTATCTCCTTTTCAAAGTGAGCCGTGGAAAGCATGAAATTATACGAGCCACAGGGCTCACTTGGTAATTGAGATACGACCTAACGTTACTTATGTCACCATATAATCCAATGTTTTTACACTAGTAAGCTCTTATGTGAGAATAAACAAATGCGTAATGTGTTTAAAATAGAACATCTGCCATTTCTTACCGAGGACTCCGTTCACCATTCTATGCCCCGGGAAAAAAATCTACCCACAATCTGAATGTTTTTGACCTGCCTAATCCACATATGGTGTAGACCAAGACAGATACTGTTGTAGACCTACTTGGTCATGATATCCAACCACCTCTGGATGGTGATAGTTTGTGCCCAGTATCAACTGCAGCGATGTGCCGAATCCTTTGATGTGCTCTTGTGCAGTGCTGACTCGTGCGGTGGAGCAAACCCTAACTTTTTTCGTCGAGTGTAGGAGGTTAACGGAGATCAGTCGGCTGACCATACCCTATTCGGGGTCAAGATGATAGACTTGGTCTTACTGAGTCCTCAAGGCAGCGGTTTACCAATGTAAGGCTTAGGCCCAAATTTTTTGGGCTTATGACCAGGCGCTTTGCTAGGATTGACCGTGTAGGTAACGTGGGCACTTGTCTAAAGGTGGCAGAATTTAAGTTCGCAAATTACAGAGGGAAGAATTACGAGGGTAAGATTCGAAGAACAATGGATCAAACTTATTGAAAAGGGACGTGATTTTGAGACAAATTTTCAGGAACCCTACCCGGGCCCATTTTGATGTATAATTTTTTCCACCGGATAACCACATCACATTGGCGGTAAAAAGTTAAGTACGGGCATGCTAGCCGCAAATCGAGTGAACGTGACCTAGAACAGCACAGGCTCGGCTGGGGCTACAAGTGAGAACTTCCCCGTCTCCGGGACAAAGTCCAGGAATTTTTTGCTAAAATCCGCTTTCCCGCGGTTTTTTACTGGAAAAAACAGACATATGTAGGTACATGTGCGATTGTACGCATGCTATCCACTCAAATGTTGAATGTAGCCACCGAGAGCGCATCGGAAATCTCTCCGACCTTTCAGACAGCTTACAGGGTATATCTACTAAACAGGGCCGGATTTACCTACTTGCCGCCCATGGGCCGCTAGTATTTTGCCGCCCCCTTCTCATTCGTTTTGAAACATCAATGAAAACCATCAAATGAACGTGCCAGCGGGGGAGGGGTGCATAAGACGCGTTTACTGGCATTGAACACATTTTTGGGGAAAGCCCTGTCAACACTACTAGCAAAAGTTCACGGAACTTTGCGCGAAAGTTAAGTTTCGTAGACCTATCTCTATGTGGACAAGGCCTCCCATTCATAAGAAATAAACGAAAAAATTATGAAAGAACAAACAAATGTGGATTAATGATTTTAACTTCCACCGCCGCGCCTCGCAGACCGCACTGTGTTTGACGCAATGCGTGAAGTATTCACGCAGTCTTGTAGGCGCTATGCGTTTCACGCCGACCGCACTGTGTTTGGCGCAATGCGTGAAGTATTCATGCATTCTTGTAGGCGCTATCCGTTTCACGCTGTCCGCAGTGGCCGCACTGCGTTTGATGCAATGCTTGAAGTTTTCGTGCAGTCTTGTAGGCGCTAATATGTGTTACATGCCAATCGCCGCGCCGAGGGCTTCTCCTTTTCATCTCAAGTCCTTGTCATCATTTCTCTCTAGGTAGGTACGACTAGCCGTTCCAGGCCGAATTGCGTGTTTCGTTTCTCTCTTAACTCGACTAATTAAAGGTGCTGTCTTTTGTATCACTGAAAGACGACAAAAGTAGAACTTATTATACTCTCAGAAAATTAGAGATTTTGTCGCCTTTTCTCGTTTGTAATTTTTTTTCTAAATCCGATTTTTTTTTAATACCTACATTTAAAAAAATTGCAAAATTTGCCGCCCCCTATAGATTTGCCGCCATGGACCGCGGCCCATGTGACCACCCTCT